CTTGTTTGAAACTTAGTGGGCACTACATTTGTCTTAACATCCGTGGGGTTCGTGGATGAGAGGCTTTCAACTATCAGGAGGCGAAGGCTGCCGCCGATAATTACAACGGTGACATATAATGACGATGTTGCTCTTGTTACTGCTGCCGCTGACGGCACTGAATATTGTGATTTTGTGATTGTGATTGTTGCGTTCTGGCGCTTATTGGCAGAATTGGGCAAGTTAATAGTCACTTCCCCGGTAGTTTGAGACATCATGATTTGGAGTCGTAATGATATATTTTGTCTTGTTTGTATTGTTCGTTTTGTTCCATGCGTTAACAGTGTACTTTATATTGAGCGGAAATTCTTAAAAGTAGAGAAATTATTGGTTGATAAAGTGTAATCGCGCTCATTTAAACGCACCATCAGTGACAGCATGGGCCAGTCATAGACACGGCGAGGCAGCGCCGTCTTGTGGACGAATAAAAGCGAACATTTTGAAGTTCAAAGTTAAATTTGCATGTCTTCTAAAAATCGAATTGCTTTTCTTCGATCTTGCAGTTCCACATTGTATTGCACAAGTCGCTGTGTCTTCGTCTATACACTATCTCAATGTGTTAACATGCCGGAGAGAATTCTACCTCCGATCTGCACGTCACTGCATAAAACATGAATGAATACACCTTTAACTGCAAGTTGACTGCCAGTGCACCATGCATGCATCAGGCTTTTATTGAGGTTGCTGTGATCGTTTATCCGTGCTGGGGTGAAACCACTCATATTGATGTCATTTATTTATCCAGAAAAAAACTGTCACCGAGTCTCATGATTTGTATTAGGAGGGATCTGCAATGGGATGTTTGGCCAACAATATCAGTTTAATCAGCGTTTCGCAGTTCCCATGTCCGCTGAAATTGTGGCTATCTCTATTGTCGACCCTGAACCAATCGTGGAAAATGACAGACAATAATTGTGACAACAACGCCGATGAATAACTGCGGCCTTGTAAGCCGCAAGGGGTGGGAGAATAGTGGCACAGCGGTTCACGCACCGCGCTATGAGCCCGGCAACCCGAGTTTGGTTCTCGTCCACGGCTAACATCAGTGACGAGTTGTCTGAACCGATCCTGGGCTCCCCCCTCTTCACCAATTCGCACGGACCAGGGTGGTGAAGTATGGTCAAACAACTCCGACGATGTGGGGAGGCCTTCATCCAGCAGTGGATTGACAAAGGGGCCTGTGAATTGTTGTCAACTGTGAAAATGCGTGGTGGGGAGTGAACAGTCATGGGACTGCCAATGCAACAATCGGTCACCGTTGTTTTACAACTGAGCGTTGCATTTGCAAGACCGGATGGTGTCACAGATTACCCAGCTATTACATTTTTTAGCAAATATTTTTTGTCCACATCGCATTATTATTACGTGGCCTTAAAGTACAAAAACCATGGTCACAGATCCCCTTTGTGATCTTATAAATGGCTCATGTAGAAAACACAACTATGGACACAAGCTGGCAGCAACAACTGTGGGAATTTGATGTCGTGCGGATACGAGATTCCACACATCTGCGTGTGCCATGTGACGGTGACAGAAACGAATATTCGCGTATGGGAAAAAATAAGTATTTTGAAGGAATGTGCGGGCCCGTTACATCGCGTTGTGACGCAACTATACACCGTCAACAAAATAAACCGGTTGTGAAAAGCAGGGGATAGAAAGATTGGGAATGGAGTCGCTGCCCCAAGGAAAACATGTTTTTAACATTATCACTGGCTCAATCTGTTCTTTCCCGGCTAGTCCAGTGATATTCTTCAAAATCAACAACGGAAAGTTAGGGGTTTTTGTGCCGATATCTTGGTGCTTTAGCAATATTAAGTGAACGATATCATCCGAAAAATGAATACCACAATCAAGATCGAGGATATTCGCTGGACCCCAAGACTACCCCCGGACCACTCCACCCAACCCCTGCCCACAAACAAACTTGGTCACTTGCTTCAAGTATCTTGATCTGTGACCCCCACCCCCCCCCCTCTTGGGTAAAACAAGCGCTGTGCGACTACTTTGCCAGCATAGGGCAGTGCAGAAGAATCCATTGTTGAATTGTACTATTTTTCGATTTAAAGCTTTCGTGACTGCAAAGATTCATCTTCTTTGGTTCTTTCGGTAAAGTCACGTAGAATGAGAATAAAATAATAAATTGATAAAATAAAATAATACAATAATATTCTCACGACGTTTCGACCACAACACAAGCGGCCTTCATCAGGTGAAGGGACGAGACTGTCAATTTATTATTTTATTCTCATTATACGTGACGTTACCGAAAGAACCAAAGAAGATGAATTTTACTATGTTAATGCAATTCATAACACGTACGACATTTCACCAGCATAAATGTTCGTGACTCTTGAGGCGTGGGGCCAAGTAAAGTGTTACTCAAAAGTCACGTGAAAGTGGACACTGGGCTTTGTAAGGAGGTCTTATTTATTGCTTGCGCGGAGAGAATGTGCTGGAGAGTAGTGTGATGAGAGGCAGCAAAGGTCGAGTCCATGGAGGATCTGACCAGTGTGGTGAAGTATGGCACAAAGGTAGCATTCCTCGGCTGACACTCCATCATGACCGACTCTTGGCCATTACTTCTAAATACGGGGGATGACTTCATACCTGTCAACCCCTTATCAGTGCCTACCTTATTGCGCCAATTCAGACCTTATTGGTCACCCCGTGACCTTATAAATCTCAACGTTCATCAAAGTCCCATCACGAGGGAGAAACATATTTTTGCTCGTATTGAAACGGCTGTACGCTGTATGGACCTGAAAACTCAATTTCCCTGTACAAGAATACGGGTGAACCGTATGGGTTGACAGGTATGTGACTTGATTGCATAGCTGATGTGGATCGCAGCAAATGATGCCATTCAGAATTGTCATTGGAACAGTATTAAGTAAAAAAAAAAATCATTGAAATGTATCACTTCCATTCCACCAGTTTTTGCTCAATTACTCTTACTGCCTAGTGGGACAAAGAATTGGAGTGATAGTGCAATATGCTCTCAACACGGCGACCCGAGTTGCAATCCGTGGCAGGTGACGCCTGATATGAAAACTGGTCCGGTCCGAACCACCCCTTCACTCTCCCACACTGGCCAGCATGACAAAGCATGGTTAACAAGTTGAAAAACAAGTGTTTCAATGCACACTTTTATTTGCACTGAAAAGTACAAAATGCATTCTTTGGACCGCAAAATGTATCACATTTGATGTGCTGAATAAAAGTGGGTGGTTTGCATAAATAAAATTATACATATCGAAAGGAAGCAACCCATTTTTATTGAGCATATCAAATGTGATTAATTCTGGGGTCAAAATAATTTATTTTCTACTTTCCAGTGCAATTAAAAGTGTGTGCACCGAAAAACATGCTTCCACCAGTTTTTTTAACGTAAAACTATTTTAACTATCGAACTGCAATTTAATCTTACCAGGTAAGGCCCACTGAGATATATAGCTCTTTTTTCAGAAGCGACCTGGCCACAAATTATATCTCAATTAAGTGGACTATCACGTTAAAACGTATCGCAGTCAAATACTCAAAGCACATGCTTCTAAATGTGGAGGGAGAAACCGGAGGACCCGGAGAAAAATCCACACGACCACGGGGAGAATAATATAAACTCCAAATATACAGGCGTGAGGGTCAGCATCGAACCCACGACATCCTGTATACCTGGCGAGGTAGTTAACATCTCGTCACCGCGAGATGTTAACTGTGAAGAAAAGTATCACTATAACCCTCTACATCCATGAACAAATAACCCAGACTTGAAATGCGCCCGATCTGGTCAGACTTTGAAAGCCAAGCAGATCCGAGCTTGGAAAGTGCCTGGATGGTTTGCCCACCATACACAAACAGGTTGTCATTGGGCTGCGGGGCGACGTTCTGTTTATATCGAGTTGTACTGTACGTCTATATGCTGCCTGTCGTTACCAATTCGCACTGACCAGCCACGGTGAAGTATGGTTAAACGGCCTCCGCAACCAGCATGGCGTGGGGAGGCCCTCATCCAGCAGTGGATTGACAAAAGGCCTCTGTGCTCCTCCAGGCATCGTGCGGCGTTCATCTCCACCAGTGGGAATTCCACATTCCCATGGCAGGTACAATATTTAAGAACCATTGACGACTTCGCACAAAGTGCAACTTATTTCATATTGATGGCTTGCCTATGTCAACCTTTGACCCTACAATAAATGGAAGCATGTGCATTGCTGTATAACTAGCCTACATTATGGAATAGGTTTTCCCCTTTTTCTTTTAAACAAAAGCAGGAGCTATTGTTGTTGGTCTCGCGCTCAGGTAACGAGAATCACAGCGGCCACTCCGGTGCTATTACGAGCGACGATGTAAGCGTGCGCTTCTCATTGGTTAGAGGCTAGTTCAATAGTGTGTGCAATAACCCCATGACCAACATGCCTCTGGGAGGCCTTCACCTGCTCGTGGCTAGGTGGCGAGATGTTAACTGCCTAGCCTGGTCTACACAGAGGTTGTGGGTTCGATCGGAACCGTGACGCCTGTATATTTGGCGTTTGCGTGTTCTCCCTGTGGCAGCGTGGATTTTTATCTGGGTCCTCCGGTTTTTCCTTCCACATTGAGAAACATGCATTTAAAGTATTTGGCTGAGATACATTTCTACAAGCCAACTTCGTTGAGCTACCATTTGTGGGCCAGGTCGCTTCTGAGATAGAACAATATAGTTTAGTGGGCTTTACCTTGGTAAATAAAATATAATGGCTGGATAGTTTTATTTTATCGTGAAACAAATGCTCAAAGGACTGTTACATTCCATGAATGTTAATAATTCCATGTTCATCCATTCTGTTCCATGCTCCATTGCCCACATCTGATGCAGACAAAAGTACAGACACATACAATTTTGTTAAAGAATATCAAGACGAGTACAGAGCACATTATTAGGAAAGCGTCACATCTGGTTGAATGAAAAAATGTCACACGTATGCTATCACAGGTCATCTTTATTCGGATAGTGTTTTCTCACACTGTTGCTACAATTTGCAGTGATAAAGCATGCAGAGTCTATTGCATACTCTTGACAGTAACAAATGGAACAATGGTACAAATTACATTTGTAACAAGAACAGAACAAAGTCCACCTTCCGTGTTTTTTGAATGAAAAAAAAAACCCCGCTCTAATGTGAAAGAAAAATTCAGCAAAGAAAATAATTTCGCTACAATCCTTGAGCATTATAAAGTCTACCTATTTAATGCTGAAAATACTTTCAGAATACGCTACAAAAAGTTGTTTAAATCTTCATTAATGCAAAAACAAAGTTGTATTTAGCATTTTTTTCTTATTTTCAACTTTTATTTATTTTTTTGCACTTTTTTTTTCTGGCCAACATTAAGCTAACCACATCCGTAATTCAGAAACATTACAAAATACACTACAAATCCGACGAACCATACATCAAAACAAATGTGCAGATGATGCTGAGCAGCGGCGAATCAAACACATTTGCGCACAAATCTAGGCCAGAAGCATTCATTATCAAAGGCATCATAACGATTCATTCCTGCAGCGGCTCTACCAGTTGTCACGATTCACAAATTTGATTCCAGACGATTCTCGTTCCAATTCTTTCTTGGGTGGAATTTTTTGTTGTTGTTGCCTTGTTTATACATTCACAGAACCATACATGTACAAAGCATCAGCCTCAATGTAACAATACATAATTTGCACAATATTTTTTGGAGCAAATGATTCACCTCCGCGATTCAATGCACGAATCTTGAGCGCAAGAATGAATCAGAACTTACGAATCGCGCATCACTCCATGCTTTACCATTGGAGCCAAGTGGCATTTCATAACATACAAGGGAACACTCTCAGCTTCAGGTTTTTTCACGTTCAACTGAAACCACGAAACACCCTGCGCGTTCAGTTTATTTTCGCAGAAAAACTTGTCAATGTATATCATTCAGAAAGTTGGGCTAACTGCATTAAAAAAAACTGAATTCTCTAAGGCGCTCTGAAACATCTAGGGAGCTCCTCAATCCAGAACTGCCTTCCTTCATCCACCCACCCATGCGTGGACACATCCACACCTTTTACAGCCTGCCTGCTTGGCAGTAAGCAGCAGCAGCAGCTGCAGCATCACGCTGGCTCACAGACTCCCAAGAGCAGGGATCGGCAACCCGCGGCTCCGGAGACATGAGGCTCTTTAAGGACTAATTCGTGACGTTATTTATTAAGCACCACCGTCTCTCGCATTCACATGCATTGCGGTTCTTGAAATATTGAGTTTGCCGAATTCGAAAAGAATGTCTCTTCTTGTTATCGTTTGCCGACCACTGCTGAAGAGCAAGGCCCCACCCATCTGTGGTAGCGCAAGCTCTATGTGCAGGGCAATTCTTAACCTTTTCCCACACCAATTATTATGATCGTGGCATTTGACTAATCAATAATTATGGTCGTGTAATTTTAGAGAATGACAAACGTACAGTGCTGTACTTTAAAATCATATTCTTCCCCCCTAAGTACTACTAAACGACTCAAGGCTGCACACAGCCCTCAACGCGCTGGTTGCTGGGGTTTTCCAAAAGCACTTTATATTTACCATATTCTCGTCCTTCCTCCCTACCTCATCCTTTATGCCCCTTTTAGGCAGACTCCACGCTACCTACTGAACCAAATTCAATTTTGTGTTGCTCATGTAAAACACTTAAGGTCAAACTTTAAAAGACGGACAACAAAGAAAACTTGGAACAAAATCAACTATAAAGGTCATGAACACAGTCTTGGCACGGATGTCAAACCTACATACGTTCCAGAATTCTTCCCCTGTAACAAAAAACAACAACTCCGCCGTGGGAATTAGTGCCGTCGAGAATATCACCTGATTCATGGCGCCTGGTCACACAACCTCCTCTGTAGTGGCAGGCAGTAGTGCTTTATTTCACACTTAAAATATTGCAGCTGGGCCGCTTGTGAATGCCACAAGATTCAGTCACTTGCATGGTTCTCCAAGAATTTAGCCTCGAGGTCCTCCCCTGGATGTCCCTAAAAAAAATAAACTCCTGCTCCTAGTGATTCTTGATCCCAATTAGCTGCTCCACCAGGTGTTGCCATGAGAACCATCGCTTGGGGTGCTGCCGTGGCCCCATGTCCACGTTTGACTGGGTTCTTGGGACATGGTCTGTCCTGGGACACTCAGAATATAACTCAACTCAATGCCCGATTTACAAATGCGGAGGAGGAATCACGGCGATAAAAGTCCGCTACTCCTGTTGCAAATACCGGGCTCGATCACCCCAGCGCAAATGTATAGTTGCTGCTCTACATGAGCCTGATGAACGAGAAGTTGACATATGGCAGTTGGGAGGGTTCTACATAAAATGGCAGCAGTCTGGGGTGAGTCTTGGGTAGGTGCCCCCACCCCCCGCCCCCCGCCTGGGCAATGACGGAGGCCGGCGCTGGTCTGGCCACATTAGCGCAAGGCCCGGCACTCGGTAAGATCGCTTGCAGCCGTGCGCGTGTGTCGAGCGATCGGTTCGTGAGCGATCGGTCCGTGAGGGGTCGGTCACCGAAATTCTCCTGGGGTGCTGCTGCAACAGAGCGTTCCCGAAGAGATGGAAAGCAAACAACTCCTGACGAGCTAAGAGAAACGGACCCTGGAAGTCAAAAGCACCGAGGCCAAGTGACCGGGGACAGTAAATCATGTGGTATGCTGTACATACGCCTCTAATACCTGTGGGAAGAGATTTGTCATTTTAGGTTTGTGTCATAGACCTTTAGTTGATGGATGCTGGAGCGGAGTTCATGTTGAGGAGTTTAGAGAGTGTCGATGGCTGACATCTGGTGAAAGGAAACAGCTCGCACGTTGTAACATAAGATTTAACTCGTGTCGATCGCAAGTTAAAACTGAAAATGCATACATGGAGAAGATGATTAACGTTTGACTCATTGTGAAGTGCTGTTTCGCCCAGTGACTCAAACAAAAAGTAGTGAATATCACTCGATAAATGTTCACGTTGTTTTGTTGCCAATCCTTTGCCTCTACTGTGGTGAAAAACAATCACCTTATACGTTGTTACCATATGGCTACGGTACGTGCACTTACAGAAGTTGTTCTAAGCGTTTGCGATGTATTTCACATATTATTTATAAGTAGACCTAATTTAAATTACAAGTAACATTTTGCGCAAGTTGTCACATCGCTTACACACACACACCGTTGTTAACGCACTTTCATTCACAATTCAAACACGTTACATAACAGACATTTTTCTTTTAGAATGCCCCCAAAGAGTTTGGTTTTATAATTGTCCTTTTAAAAATAATTTCTCAAATGCATTGTACTATCAGAATTGATGGGATTTGCTTGCAGTTTGCTATTATCCCCAGCAAACAGAACAAGCTACATCTTCCCAAAACACAGGACATTGGGCTTGCAAACATATGCTGCACGATTCAACAAAATACACGTAATACTTTGCGAGAGATACTGTAGCAATCTTTTTTCACAACAAATCTGTTATTAAAACATATGGTTGCCGTTGCAATGCTGTGGATTTCTATACTTATATATCCGTATAATTGAATTAGAAATGCCCGTTAACCCTTTTCTGCTAAACAATGGTGAACGCTCTATGTAATGGAGCATCATAAAGTGCTAAAGGAATTGTGTGTCCATGAGAGCAAATCATGTTGACAGCTGAATAATGATTGATAATTATTCATGTGAATGCAATTGGGTTTAGCTAAGGTTTAAATGGCATAGGCCTCGTATGCAATTGAAAAGTGACTTCAAAGCACTGTTCATTGGCTGCAGGTTTGTACACTCACCTGTATGTAAATAATGCAATAACACGCAACTGGTCCGGTCCACAAGGCGAAATCACGGCAAACAAAGTCGCCGTCCTTCAACGTAGCTTTTCACCAGAGCGCTCCATTAGGGAGCTTTTCCAGTAACCCCTTAAGGACCAGGATCTAATAATAATAAAATTACGTGCCCCAAAGACCTGAATTAAAACTAAAATATTTGTGCTGCGAGTCTTAAAGTTGGACTGACAACATTATAATAATTTGAGTAGGAATGCATGTATTTTTTTTTATCTCCCACTTGAAACACATCATCTTTTTGATGAAAACATAATGAGCCACGTCAATTGGAGCAATGTAAAGCTTTTGCTAAAAAAATAAGCAGAACTTTTTAATTCTGGGGACATTTTAAGGGGTATTGAAATTAGGTATACTTTGCATTGACAGAGGACGGCACAACATACTGTGTATAACTATTGTACATGCAAGGCAATTGATTCCAAAAATCCCAAAGCTTTACTCGAGTATAAAAAATGACAATTTGATAAACTTGCCTGCATATATGCTATTTGCTTCAGTGGACAAAAATTTATGCTGTAATATACCCAAACAATATCCAAATGCCCTACTACAAGCAACCAAAACTAATGCAAACTGCTTTCCGTACCGAGTCGGGGTCACTGAACCCACCGTGTAATTTACAATTATTTTATTGACACTGGTCATTGAGGGGTTAATGTGTGTAATTGGCAATCAAAAAAGCACATGAAAATAAAGTCGCGTCAATCAAGTCCTCTCATTAAATGCTGCTTAGCAGTGTGCATTCAGCGTGATGAAACTGAACATCTCATTTGTTCGAAAACTAAGAAACAGGTTCACATGAAGCCAAGTACACAGCAAAGAGGGGTGCGGTGGTGGCGGAGCAATTAACCTGGCGACCCGAGTTCGATACCTGGCCGGTCTTGCACTCCCTTCACGAAACCTCTGACCACCACGGTAAAGTATGGTAACAACCGCAATGACCAACATGGTGTGGGGGAGGCCTTCATCCATTGATTGAGAATGGCTAAAAATAATATATTTTTATCTTATATACACCGCTGTGAGCCAGGCTATGGGTCTTCAGTCGATGATGTGTTTCCTATATGGCCTCTTGATGTTCATTCCTAAAGGGAACAAATGGCTAGTGTTTAGTACATATGCCTTGTTAACAAAAACATTCTAAACAGTGGCCAGGTTAAACGTGTAAATTCATCGCAATCACAATTGAGCAGCGAGATGACTTTACCTGCGCAGCTTCGGTCTCAACCTGAATGTCCTAGCGATTAATGCGCCGCAAGCGATGCAGCAGTACATGCGGAAGGGATTTAGAACGCTTCAATACAATATTCACTGCACTGATAACATTGATTTCAGTGGTTACTGCAGGCTGAGGAGCAATCGAGACCATAAGGTACAAGGACAAGGCCCGTACCATGCACACGATTCCACAATATGAATTCCATCGTTAAGCACTTGATAAGTTGTACAACTGTGCAATTCAAATCAATAAGATTATTTACTGTTTACGTGGTATAGATAGGGATGTAGGTCTCCTTTTGTTTATTAAAGACGCCTTAAAGCCCAAACATATCTTACATTTCCATACTTAACGTGATAAAGCTGAAACTAAAATAATGCACGTGAAAGAAGAGATCCCATCTGTATTCAAATAAGAATTATATAGCAGATTTTACACTATACTACATATACAACATGCAGAAAGAAGATGGAACCACTCCTCGTTGGCCTGGAGAGAATTAGAATCGGCAAGTATCAATTACAGATGGCACACCGCACAAATTAATAGCGAGACGATTGCTGTGCTCAACTGGTTTTATTCCCCTGCGGTGCCGATTCTGGCAAACCGCACTCGGCATCCAGTGTAGGAGCGAGTCAATCGGTGGAAAATTGCATTGAAAATGAATGCAGACGGGCAGCAGCAAACATAAGGATCAAAAGATTAGAATACAGGGCCGGAACAATTTGGCCGCCTTGAAGATTCCACGCATAACGTCAATGGTAAGTGCTTTCTCTACGATACTGAAATAAAATCGTTGTTTTATCCCCATCGCAATCGGTCAATGGGAGACAATTTTCAAGACGAAATTTATTTTTCATGTTATCTTATATATATCTAAAAGGGAAATTTGTGTGTCTGTTCGAAATGTTTAGCATACTTCCCATCATGCAACTTGAAATTTGGCATGTGGGTAGCTTCCAGACTGTACAAAAAGTATAAAAATAGACTTTGTATTTTGGCGGGGGGGGGGAATAACCATGAGCCATGTGGCGTCAACCCGCATAGAGGACTGGCGAGAATCGATATCTGGTGAGCGTTTGTCGTATCGATTAAACGGGAATAGGCCGATTCTAAAGAAATCTACAACATCAGATTCCTCTGCGCGATTTAAAGAATCGAATCTTGGCGCGCGAGCATAGAGCATTTTTCCACCGCGCGTTGGGTTTTATTTTAATTTTAATTAATGAGGTAACGATCAAAGTTTTCTTTTCATTTGTATATGTTATGTTTCTAAGATTTGAGAAGTTTTCAAATATATTTTTCCCCCGAGCAACGCCGGGTACTTCCCCGCTAGTCTATATATAGAATATTTAAAAAAATACTTTTTTTTAAAACACGCTTTAATTAAATGTACCGTACGAGTGATGGCAGAACTCCACGACTCGAGGAAGTGGCCCCGAGGCTTGCCACAACGTAAGGGGACCCGTGGTGATTTACAGCTAAAGTCAGTTGAGCTTCGACAGTTAGACCCAAGCCGAAAAAATAACATGAAAATTAATGTTTAAAAATATGTTTTCTTTATTTTTATAGAATATAGTATTGTCATCAGTATGACATAAGTATAGCAAGTTTTCAGTCGATACCACTTTGGGAAGTGGGTTAAAATTGAGTTACAAGATTTGAGGATCCGACAACAACAGAGCGAGTTAAATAAAAGCGTGTCATAAAAAGGGAAATTTGTGAATGTGTGTCTGTTCGAAATGTTTAGCATACTTCCCGACAAGCTACAAACTTGAAATATGGCATGTGGGTAGTTTCCAGAGTGTACACAATGTACAAAAATAAACTTTTGTATTTTGGGGGGGGGGGTAGGGGTGCAATAATGGATATAATATATTGCACAGCAAGTGAGCGGTGACGTCACATCTGTGATGTCACCCGCATCCGGCAGCGTCACGCAGTGTGCCTGCTGACGTCACACATCCCCCACCCTCCGCATAGGCCTGTATTAATCCAAGACAAGAATCCAAGTCCCGGGCGAAGCTGGGTAGTAAAGCTAGTGATATATAAATCCCAACAACAAATTCCAGTTCAAGTAAACAGGGGATTAACTTTGTGTAGTAATTTATCATTTACAGCCCAAATTAAATCTATTGCTGAATAAGAGGCCTACCCACGCAATGTCTGTCGTGGAAGCTGTTTGACTGTGTTTCGCCACGTTGGGTGGTGAAGGGCACGGTTGGCGGATTCACAAGTAGTTTCAGATGTTATTCACCACTGGTGGTAGCTGTGGCTGGAAGTCGAACTTGGATTGTCGGGTTCATAACGCAGTACGCCAAGCACTGCGCCACCGTTCCACCCTCTTGACGAGTACGCTTATGTTGAAGTAAATAGTCATAACGCAATGTCTAAACAATGTGTGTATGCTGCTTTACCCCAGATAAGGGTGGTAATTTTACTGCGCAGTGTTCTGGGGAAATGCCGATGGCATTATGCGTGCTAGCAAAAGTACTGCTATACTGTAAAGATTACATCTCTAATGTGAATATAACAGTGTGGTTGGGTGGTCCGTTTCTAAACCGTCACTGGTGTTGACCGTGAGTGGGAATCGAACTCGGGTCGTCGGGTTGACAGCGTGCTAATCGCTGCACTACTGCTCCCACACACAATCGTTGTGCTTTACTGTAAATTAGTTAATTTTTGGTGAATAGAAATTGGGTGACATCTCAGCAGATGGGCCTGTGTCATAATTAGATATCAGTGACCCAGCCAGCTGGCTCAATGGCAGAGTGAGCGGCTCACAGTCAGAAGGTTTAGAGTTAAATTCCTGGTTGGGTGTTCACTCAGTCCATCATCTTTCCAGGGTCAACACAACGAGTACCACTTTCATGGGGAAGTCAACAGTGGTCGTTCTATGAATAGACTCGCCCCTGCCATAGTAATGAGGAATTTCCACCAATGGCTCAGGGCTCTAAAACGGGTTGAGCACCACCTCAAATCTCATTTGAGCAGGAAATAACCGAGTTGGCCAGTACACCGATATTTTCTTTTAAATTAAAATGGGACGCAATTCCATTGCTTAAATACCACTATTATTCACCTACAGTGAGGGAAAAAAGAATTTGATCCCCTGCTGATTTTGTACGTTTGCCCACTGACAAAGAAATGATCAGTCTATAATTTTAATGGTAGGTTTATTTGGACAGTGAGAGACAGAATAACAACAAAATCCAGAAAAACGCATGTCAAAAATGTTATAAATTGATTTGCATTTTAATGAGAGAAATAAGTATTTGACCCCTTCTCAATCAGAAAGATTTCTGGCTCCCAGGTGTCTTTTATACAGGTAACGAGCTGAGATTAGGAGCACACTCTTAAAGGGAGTGCTCCTAATCTCAGCTTGTTACCTGTATAAAAGATACCTGTCCACAAGCAATCAATCAGACTCCAAACTCTCCACCATGGCCAAGACCAAAGAGCTCTCCAAGGATGTCAGGGACAAGATTGTAGACCTACACAAGGCTGGAATGGGCTACACGACCATTGCCAAGCAGCTTGGTGAGAAGGTGACAACAGTTGGTGCAATTATTCGCAAATGGAAGAAACACAAAAGAACTGTCAATCTCCCTCGGCCTGGTGCTCCATGCAAGATCTCACCTCGTGGAGTTGCAATGATCATAAGAACGGTGAGGAATCAGCCTAGAACTACACTGGAGGATCTTGTCAATGATCAAGGCAGCTGGGACCATAGTCACCAAGAAAACAATTGGTAACACACTATGTCGTGAAGGACTGAAATCCTGCAGCGCCCGCAAGGTCCCCCTGCTCAAGAAAGCACATATACATGCCCGTCTGAAGTTTGCCAATGAACATCTGAATGATTCAGAGGACAACTGGGTGAAATTGTTGTGGTCAGGTGAGACCAAAATGGAGCTCTTTGGCATCAACTCAACTCGCCGTGTTTGGAGGAGGAGGAATGCTGCCTATGACCCCAAGAACACCATCCCCACCGTCAAACATGGAGGTGGAAACATTATGCTTTGGGGGTGTTTTTCTGCTGAAGGGACAGGACAACTTCACCGCATCAAAGGGACGATGGATGGGGCCATGTACCGTCAAATCTTGGGTGAGAGCCTCCTTCCCTCAGCCAGGGCATTGAAAATGGGTCGTGGATGGGTATTCCAGCATGACAATGACCCAAAACACACGGCCAAGGCAACAAAGGAGTGGCTCAAGAAGAAGCACATTAAGGTCCTGGGGTGGCCTAGCCAATCTCCAGACCTTAATCCCATAGAAAATCTGTGGAGGGAGCTGAAGGTTCGAGTTGCCAAACGTCAGCCTCGAAACCTTATGACTTGGAGAAGATCTGCAAAGAGGAGTGGGACAAAATCCCTCCTGAGATGTGTGCAAACCTGGTGGCCAACTACAAGAAACGTCTGACTTCTGTGATTGCCAACAAGGGTTTTGCCACCAAATACTAAGTCATGTTTTTCAGAGGGGTCAAATACGTATTTCCCTCATTAAAATGCAAATCAATTCATAACATTTTTGACATGCGTTTTTCTGGATTTTTTTGTTGTTATTCTGTCTCTCACTGTTCAAATAAACCTACCATTAAAATTATAGACTGATCATTTCTTTGTCAGTGGGCAAACGTACAAAATCAGCAGGGGATCAAATACTTTTTTCCCTCGCTGTAAGTATGCTGATGTTCCTGATGAGGATGCAAATATATATGTCAGAAACATAATTAACAGGGTCTGTTTAACTGCCATATAAATGTAACATTTAAGTCCATCAATCAATTCTCTTTCTTGAGCAACAATTTGCAGCGAAATGTTTTCTGAGCAATTAAAGCCCTGACACAGTTTCAACTCCTCAAAGTGTCGGCAACAAGGCGATGCAAAATCAGTGCTTACTTCAGAGAAGTCTGAGAAGTCACAGCATTCCAGGGTTTGCCTTGCTTACACAGCTGCTGGCACACACTGAAGGACCATTGCTCATCGTAGTTATATTTGGGTTTGTTGGTGATAAAAAAGACCTTCCCTCACTATGTATTACTTTATTAATCACAATCCGCCAAAACGTGGCACAGCGGTTGTGTGTTTGTATATATATATGAAAACCCTAGATACGTATACACATACACAGAATCATATACACAGTATATTTACGAGTACGTGCATGACTCTGGCTTGAGGTGAAATTGAAAGCAATCTCTCTTGCTTTAGCACTCAGGAGATTGCACCCGCGGTGCATTACATGTCACCACTGCATCTCGTAAGACCAGATGTTGCCGGGTGCACCCAAACAATTCTAGTCATTAATGGCGATGTTCAATAACGTAGGTAAGCGGGCAGGACGAAAACATTTTACAGTTCATTTGATTATTTCTCCGTTATTGTTGTTTTTCATCATGGCATGTTTCGGGATACATTCGTAATGTAATAATGGCAATCGAAAACGATGATAATAATTAAAAAACAATAATCAGTTCCCAGTGGCAACGATTGGCGGGGTGCGTTTCATTGTTATCGCTGCGCGAGGGTGAAAATCCACACGTTCCGTTTCCCACCTCGCCCAGCAGTGGGACAGTGGGTGCAGAGCGGACGGCGGGAGCGAGCGTAGCTATAACACAGCAAAGACAAAGATCCCCCGTAGAGACTTAACAGACTGTTGGAGCAAGTTCTGTTAGCGAGCACCAATAAAGGGCGGCACAGCACACGAGGGGGTGGGTGGCCAGCACCACGCCTGGCCGGCTTGGCCTTTCTTAGTGGCGATGTTTACACACCACACCAGGTACTCATTTGAGGCCGAGTCGATTAAGGCGAGGCCCAGGACCAGTCCAGGACATTCGTCACTGGTATAGTCCGTGAGCGGGAAAACGAACTCGTGTCGCCAGGTTCGTAGCGCAGCGCACTAACCGCTAGACCACCACGACACGGCACGCACACGCACCCACGCGTACGAGCGTGCGAGTCACGGCGTCCAATGGCAGTGTTTGTGCAAGAGTGCACGCGCTAGCCCGTGACAACAACCTCCGATAAGCATGGTTAGCTATGCACAGTGAGAAAGAAGTTCAACACACATACATACAAAAAAACAACAAAACACAGCCCCACGGCATCCGCCGCCAAGCGTCCCCCCCTTGCCGCATCACCTCTCCGCATCACTGCGCCGGGCGGTGGTGTGCGTGGCGCTCGCAAAGAGGAGCTCACTTTTTCTTTCGGTAGAGCTTTTGGAATTCGCCCGTGTTGAGACGTGGCCGCGGTAGGTCGCCGAACATCTCCGTGCCGTCCGTCACGCTCATGGCCAGGGCCTTCATGCTGGCTCCGATCTGATCCAGGTCCGGCGCGTTCATCTGTGCGGGTTCACAGTGGGGTTAAGCTTTGGCTTTGGTGGAGAGTTGTGAAATATAAGCTGCTGCTGCTGCGTGGCAAGAAAAACAAACGGAGAGAGAGAGAGAGATGTCCTGCACCAAGTGGGAGAAGAAAATCTGAATTAGGCATGGAATGAGCTGAAGGAGGTTACTGGGCCGGTGGTGGTAACAGGCAATGAGCTGAAGGTGATCGAGAGAAAGATTATTTTGGAGAATACCAAGAGGAAACCTAAGAACGACAATGCTAGGCAACATTCAACAAGGATGTTTGGTCAGATGAAGAGGGCAGAAGAAAACAGCGGAACGTGATGGAGAGAATTATAACGCGGATCTGTCTACGGGCAGAGCACTCATTGAATGTGAGCTTCCGGGCTGATACTATGACTGCCAGTAGACACTTTGATTTTCCTCTCGTGGCTTAAATCCTCTGTGTGATTTTGTAGATTCAGTACAAGGTGAGGGAACAGCTAGAGCTCAGCTAATTTAGCTGATATTAAGGAATATTTTACCAACTTTGTTAATAATACTGCCACCTTGTGGCTAAATAAAAATACATAACAAGCTAACAGACCTGACGGAATTTATTTTTCTTTCCTATCTTGTAATCTCAGTCCGTGTTTACACCACTGCCTCCATAGACGTGTCCATTGAACTAACATATGGCATAAAATCAAGCCAAGTTACTTATTATGCAATGCAACAGTGCATGAAATATACACAGCGAAGAGATTCACTTTATTTAAATGCTGGTCCCTTGTCCCAGTGTCCCTTCTGGAGGGGGGCATGAGGGCAGATGCATGCCGATTAGCCCCAGGCATTACAGTCACGGAGCTCAATCACAGCCACTTCTCCACAGCGCATGCGTTAACACAAACGGACACACACCTCATTCGCTCTCCCAATCTTGTGTGTCACATGGCACTGTAAGGCATGTCTTGGTCATCGAGAAACGTGCTCGAGTGTGATGTTCTCACCCTGGCCTCTTTGTCTGGGTCGTCCTGGTGCTTGCCCTTCTGCTGATGATGCTGCTGATGATGCTGCTGATGCTGCTGCTGCTGCTGGAAGTGCTGCTGATGCTGTACGTGCTGCTGATGCTGTACGTGCTGCTGATGCTCGATTTGCTCCTTGAAGCCCCAGACTGGCACTCGAACGGGCAGTGACTTTGCGTACTGGTGGCATCCGGCCCTGGGGTTAGTGTCCTCACTCAAGCTGCCGTCTGTGCACACACAGAAAGGTTGGTGTTAAAACAAAGTATTCCCCTTATAGCCTCAATAGACTATGAAGGCTGGCATGACACAAGGGGATGGATGGCGATGCCAGCTCCAGGCTAGGACCGCTTTTGCCTACCAAGTACTGTTGTTTCCACATTATACCAGGTACTCATTGAAGGCTGAGTTGACCTAGGAGAGGCCTTGGACCGGTTCTCTTTGGCACAATTATATAGTTAACCGTGTTATTAACCGTGGCACACCGCTGGTGGTCGGCAAGGCCACAGCAAGCGGTCAGTGGAAATCATTGCAGATTTGATATTTTTCATAAAACGTACATTTTCATTCACGTTTGTACACGAACTTGTTTTTTTTATTTACGATTGCCCGTGGTCCTTCAGTCCAGAAAGGTTGGGGGCACAGTACATGGGTGCACCACGGTGGTGAGATGTAAACTACCTCGCCTGGTATACAGGAGGTCGTGGGCTCGATCCCAACCCTGACGCATGCTGCTGCTGTATATTTGGAGTTTGCGTGTCTCTCTCTCGTCATCACGGTGGCTATGAGATGTAAACTACCTCGCCTGGTATACAGGAGGTCGTGGGCTCGATCCCAACCCTGACGCATGCTGCTGCTGTATATTTGGAGTTTGCATGTCTCTCTCTCATCATCACGGTGGCTATGAGATGTAAACTACCTCGCCTGGTATACAGGAGGTCGTGGGCTCGATCCCAACCCTGACGCATGCTGCTGCTGTATATTTGGAGTTTGCATGTTCTCCCCGTCGTCATGTGAATTTTTTTCCAGGTGCCCAGGTTTACCCAACCACATTTAGAAACGTGCGTTTATAGTTTTGGCTGATATAAATATCCACGTGATAAGCCACTCCGTTGAGCTATCATTTGTGGCCAGGTCGCTTCTGAAAACGAGCTGTATAGTTCAGTGGGCCTTACTTGGTAAGATTTTTTTTTTAACTGGATGGAGTACACAAAATCCGTGATCTAATCCCATCTGTGAAGGAGGGCATTCCTGACATACAATACCCTGGAATCTACAAACTAAGTTGTACCTGCGGTAGCAGTTACATTCAGGAATAGAAACGACATGTCTTGGACCGTGTTCGCGAACATAAGGCAGATCTGAAACACGGCAGAACCAATACCTCTGCCGTAGCTGACCATTGTTATAACGGTGTGGGCTTGCATGAGTTTTTTCTGAGACCAAGGTACTCTGCAAACCTTCGGGCAACTATCAAAGGTTTATTCATGAAGCCATCCAGATATATAAACAGACATAACTTCAACCGAGAAGATGGATACAAATTTAACAATCATTGGAAGGATGTTATTAACCAGGTAATGCCTTAACTGGTGGAGGTTGTTTCCATCCTACCTGCCGTTTACTAGTAGATGTTTTTTCTCCCCCCCCCCCCACGTGTCCCACACTCAGCTTCCCACTTCTAGCCCCGCCCACTTCCACTCCCAGCCTCACGTCATCTTCCCCTAGCGCTCACGCAGCCCCCCCTTCCCCTACCCCCCCCCTCTCTCTCCCGCCTTAGCTCCCACCCTTTCTTACCGATATAACCTCTTGCCATGGCAGCTCTATCGCCTACTTCAGCATTTTCTTGCTGTGGTTGTTCCACCTGATGAAGATTGCTTGTGTTGCGATCGAAACGTCGTGATTTGTTTGATTTTATTTCTAACTACGTGGCTTTACCGAAAGAACCAAAGAGTATGGATTCCTGCAGTCACGAAAGCTTCAAATCAAGATTGGATGGAGTAGTTGTCCTATCACCCGCAAGTGGGCAGGCATGGATTTGTGACTGAAAATCCTGCCAATGGGGGTTGTCTCCTTTGGATTTGCAGTGCCCCCTTGTGCTCACTGCCGTTCATTTCCCATATTGTGTTGAGTCCATGTGGTCAAAATAGGCATCTCCTGCAGTCAGGCTTTTTCTATTCGTGCATATGTCGTACTGCATAGTTTCACGTCACATCCCTGTAGCCACTAGAAATGTAAAAAAATAAAATCTTAAATCGAATTGTGAACCTGAATTCATGAAACCGTCAGGCTGCGAAAATTAATAATTCCACCTCTACTCCTGAGGCAGCATATGGTTATACACATTCAATCCTTTCCAATAGGGGGCACTGGAGACGTAGTGAAGGCTTACATTCACGGGGTCACGGTAATTGTCTTTCTTAGGAGAACTCAAAACTATAGAAAAGCAACTGTCAGCCCTGTTGAAAAGATGCGAAACGCAGCCCCCTGAATGAATGGAATATTAAAGGATACAGGCAACGATGACACCGATTGGTTGAAGTCAAAATAGCGATTCACCAAATTTCCACTTTGCATTTCAATGCAGTCAAACTTTTATGACGGGCCATGCAAGTGATGATGACCTTGTTGTTTGCGTACCGTAGTCTCTGAATAATAAGACAAACTATTGTTCCCTGTATTATAAACAACAGTTGGGGGCGTGTCTTATACTGCAGAGAATATTTTGTCTTCCGGAAAATGTGTTTCAATCTATTTGTTCAGAATCATCTTTCCGAAGATGGTTCTCCATAGCAATAAATGACCACCTAGAAGAGAGGAGGATACCATCAGCTGTTCAGAATAATCTTCCAGAAGACATCAATCACCTCCCTATTGCAAAGCAGAACATTCACAACCACATTCTGGATGTCGGCTCTCCATAGAACCCGTACCGCTCTCGTGATGAAAAAAACAACTAAAAATTACCCTAAAGCGTGGGGTGCGTATTATTTTCTTGAGCATCTTACGATCAAAGAATATGCTTGTTTCTATTTTTGTTAGAACTTTTATTTTTTTGAGGCCCATCACTTCCAAACGTTGGGGAGCAGCGGATGATAAGTATGCAAGCATACCTGTCAACTCCTTATCGGTGCCTACCTTACTACAGACAAATTCAGACTTTATTGGTCACCCCGTGCCCAATAAATCTCAACGTTCATCCGACAAAGTCCCATCACAAGAATAGAGGTAAATTAGTATGGGTTGAAAGGTATGTTTATGTTGAATGTCTTTTGCATCGTACGTAGCCAACCGTGCTAATCGGATGCGGGGTAATTGGAAAGATGACACTGCTGCTGCGTTGGCATCGTTGTGCAAGCATAGTTAACAAAAACAGTCAGCACGTTTGACAATAAGAATGCGGCCTTAAAATAAAACGTAATAGGCGACGTTTCAGGCAACGGCTCTTGATCATAGCCCATTTATGTGCGATGAAGAAGGGAATTTGCCGGAGACATCACCTATCCTATATATTTCCTTTTAAGGGCACAGTGTTATTGATGAATGTGTTGATTTTTGTTTTAATAGTCGACGAGTTTGGGTATACGAGCTCATAAACACCTATATATGATCTACATTTAAAAGCACAATTATAAATTGAGGGCAACATGAAGGGAACAAAGATAAGTGTAAAGCAGTCTCATCTGAAGTTTACCGGAGTAACCTTGAAGCATAACTCTTTGTGTGAATAAGATTGACGGTTGAAGGTGTGGCGAGGCCTACACTCGCTGTAGGGATTGCGGTGAACGGTAATGAAGTCAAGAGCGCTTCTTAAGGGCAAGAATTTTAGTGGTGACAGAGAATTAATGTGTTTTTTTTATTAGGATTTTATGAAGCAACAACGTAGGCCCCATAACAATGCTTTAGGTGACAGAAAAACCGGGCGGGGACAAACTCGAGGCCCTCACACCCGACGTGATCGGTCTATATAAGACAGGGGAAATTAACCGCGGGTGTAGGCGTGGAGGGTATACATCTATCGCCTCTTTCACACAAAGGTATCACGTCGCGGAGCCAACGTGCTTTCATCTGGGGGGGAGGGAAGGGGTGGTAAGGGAAGAAGGGGGGGGGGTGGATTAATGTTGATTACAGAGATGAGAAAGTGAGATGGTGAAGTGAGGATGGTGGGGAGGGAGTCTAGAAGATGTCGAGGTGCAAGTAAGCAAACGGATCGCACAAGTGGCCATGGGTATCACTGATTAGCTTCGAAATGTAGCATCAAAGTGTTGATATATCTGGGAATTTGCGTTACTGGCTTGATATACGATATAGCCAAAGGCTGGTTCGAAGTAAAAACAAGCAGAACATTTCGTAGACAAATCAAGCATACCTCCCTAAAATACTGAAAAACACTTTATAGTGTTGTCTCTGCTAGAAGTGACATTGTGCAGAAGTACAATGCAAATGAAGCGGTGAATCCCTGATGCAGGTCCGGACTTAAGCCATAGGTTGCTAGCGGGACGGTGGTGGTGCAGATAACGTGGAAATTATCTCTTTCGGTCGTACAGCAGGATTCCACAGTGTTTGTATCTGCATGCGCGCGTGCGTGGGACTTGTACGGCAGGTAGATATATGTTTAATAGAAACGTTCGCATACTGAATTATAGGTTAGGTAAGCAGACTTTTTTTTGTTTCTGGGCTGTGGGGAAGAAGAAAAAATAACAAGTGGCAATCGGTTTCCAAAACAGGGCTGGGCTCCTCCTAGGTCAACTCAGTTTACAACAGTACCCACCACAGTGTGTCAACCTTGCCTCTCGGAAGACAACGGCTGGCCAAGTGTTGCTGTGGCCTCACAGGAAAAACCTTGGCATTGTGGATGTTGATGACAGTACACTCCCCAAGCACACGTAACTACTTTTGTCAGTCCACCGCTGGATGAGTGCCTCCCCCCATGCGGCGCGGGACGCGGGGGCTATTTCACCTACTTCACCACACTGTGCTAGTGCGGTTTGCCAAAGGCGGGGAGAATAGATGCGGGAGCATAGAAGTATGGGACAACAATTAATTTTGCTGTACTTTTCCAAGCAGTGAGGACAAATGGGGACTCTACTTCCAAATTCACAAGTAGTGACCGCATGTTTACCTTTATAACCATTCACCGCCATTCTTCATGCAAATAAAACGTATTCGCTGACGAGATGCTTACCATCAGTACTCTCCTCCTCTCCATCCGACTCAAAGAACGGTTCGCAGTCATTGATCGGCGAGTCTTCATCCATGACAAACAGACCTGTACACACACACACAGAAACCACCGTTAAACCGCTGACTAACGGAAACGCACGCGCACGCATGCACAGGCTATGGTCGAATGAGCGCAGACAAACATTCATCAGCTGAAATTATGGCTAGCTTTAGAGCCTGGCAAAAAATAAAACGAGAGTGGGCTTCCTCCCATGAAGGGCGAGTAAGAAAAGCATCGGGCCCCCATACCAGAGATTACATGTCCCCATGCATGCGCTAACTTTCGTCGTCAGCAACGCTCCACACGTTTGATTATCCGATATGTGAACAATTTGACGTGTGTACGTTTGGACTTGACGCGTCGATGTATCAAACATACCAAAGAAGTTCACCACACGCACATGCAAACCTCCCAACTTTATGGAGTCAGGCTGCAGTCAAGATCTTTTAAAGTGGGGGAAGCTTGAGGTGGAGCAGATAAAAAATTAGGTGGAGGAGTGGAGGCCTCGTCAGGACACAACACGGAGCCCCGACGTCGCGGGTATCCTCATCTCGACAATTGTTAAATAATTCGTCAAGATTAGAACTATACTTCTTAAGTTCGAATACCAAGTCCACAAAATTAATGACAGGTTCTGATTTTATTATCGATTAAAACTGTGATTTTTGTTACGAGCCACTTGATGTTTTGGGCCTTTGGGCCTGTGCTCAGAAACTAGTAAAATAAATGCTGGAATCATCAGCCTTGTTATTTAGGATTGCACAAAAAGCATAACATCGGCAGAGATGAAAATACAGAACCACTCATTCACATACAGATTCAAAGTGCGTTTCTTCTGGAAAGATACATGAAAGGATCTGAACAAAGACAAAACACCATAAGACGTTTTTGGGTTAGATCACGTAAATATATAAATGTGTCGTTAAAACCCACCATCACCCGACACAGTCAACTAGTAAGGGTTGTCATGTAAACAGAATCACAGTACTAGTGACGAATTGGCACAGTACTAGTGACGAATTGCCATGTTCTGTTTACATGACGACCTTTACTAGTTGGCCGTGTCGGGTGGTGGCGGGTTTTAACGGCAGATTTATATATTTACCCGCTCTAACCCAAAAACCTCTATTATGGATGATATTGGTCGCGAAATCCGATGTGTTAAAAAGACGAACAATTACCCCTTGTTGGCATTTCCTGATGCAAGAGAGAAAAAAAAGGACAAGTGACCAGAAAAAGCCAACATGCGCATTGATTTTCAAAACTCCACACAGATATGGTATAGGACACAGGTATGGCATCAACCGTATTACACAAAATCCTTTTTCTGCACTGTGCTGAAAGGGCTTCAGAGCGCTATGGATGGGTTTTATATTCAGGAACACGCTTTACTTCCCCCAGCATCTCCATGCTGTCACGCGCTGTCCCCGCTCAAGTGCAGACTCAAGACCTCTCTTTTTTCCCCTCTGACAATGAACTACACTGCCTCTCTCTGTCCCCGTGATAAATATGCCAACTGTTCTGTACAGCGTCTTAAGATGTGATTACATTTTGGATGCTATATAGAGCCACGTTGTATTGTATTGTATTTTAATCGCCCAACCTCGCAGTATATTGAAAATGCCAAAGCCTGTTGGTGGGACTCAGAAGATGTTAAATTGGTGCAGTGTGCACTGCTAGAAAACACCGGTCCAAAATGCCCTCTGGTTGGTGTACTTGAAAGTGATTTTGTTTTTGTAAGAGTAAACATTTTCCTTCTCTTGCTTGCCAATTATTCATACACTAGCTTTACTACCCGGCTTCGCCCGGGACTTGGATTCTTGTCTTGGATTAATACACGGCCTACGCGGAGGGTTGGGGGGGGGGTACGTGATGTCAGCAGGCACACTGCGTGACGCTTCCGCATGCGGGTGACATCACAGATGCGACGTCACCGCTCACTTGCCGTGCAAAATATTATATCCATTATTGCGCCCCCCCCCCTGCAAATACAAAAGTCTATTTTTATACTTTTTGCATTGTGTACAGTCTGGAAACTACCCATATGCCAAATTTCAAGTTTGTTGCATGTTGGGAAGTATGCTAAACATTTTGAACAGACACACATTCACAAATTTCCCTTTTATATATATATAAAACAAACAACCTAATGAGGCAGGTCGACCCCTTCATGGTGCCATGGTGTAATGGTTTCGCACACTGAACTTATCTCCTGGCAATTGCGCAACTTTCTGAATCCTCCCTCGCGCCTCCATCTATCCAGCTGTGTAAATGGCTACACCACAGTGAGTGGATCGGTAGTTCACGTGTGGTGGGGTAAAGAGTGGATTCTCCCACATATTCCAAGACGTTTGGCCACCGTGGAAGAGTAGGCCAAAAATACCCTCTGGAGTTGCTCTCTATAAACTCCCTCTAGGTGGAGGCCCTTCCGCCAGCAGTGGCATGAGCGAGCAGTTCCAGAGCTGTGAATTTTTGCATTTTGGCTGGGTCACCATTGAAAAAGAGCCCACGAACTCAATGGGCCTCACCCGACAAACTGACACATCGTGGATTTTACCATTGATGGCAATTAAAGATTCTCAAAGCACTCCAAGTCATGGGATTGAAGTATGCCCCGACCACCACACCCAGTCAATATCACATGCGTCCACGGTTTTCCCGAGCCACATGGATTGTGTGGGAACTGGCGCTATGGCAGCAATCCAAAATTAACAAACGTGAATGCTGCGAGTGCCACTGGTTATTGCCTACGATTGGACAAGCCATCTGCTGTGATTTAAACGTCTGCCACATAAAGCTGGAGCACTCGCGGACATCCTCCCAACACACCCTGTCCTGCCCTGAACTTTTATAAACGTGCTCCGGGTAATATTTCATCGCTCTGTATAAAGTGTCAACCACTTATAAATCTTATTTAAAAGTACCCAATGTAAATATTACTCGACGATTTTAATTCAGGTTGGCTTTATGTTTCTGTAACCCCGGACTTTTTACTCGTGAATGTACATCAAATTTTACGACTATCACTGTTACAATAGCAAGTCCGCCGAATATCGCACACACCAGCAAAACCATGATCAGCCAGCAATAAAATACACGTACAACATAAAATATGAACGTAGCACTTATAAAGATAGAGCAAACTCTTTTATATCTAGCACGCGAGCACTGCCACTCAGTATTGCTACGGTAGTGTTAGTCACCGGAATATAATTAGAATTTTTACGTTAAAAAGGCCTCTGCAATAATCACGCAGATTCAATGCATATTTAAAAACTGTAAACACGTATTAAAAGCATAATTGGCATATCCATGGGACAGGTGATGCACGGTGAAACAAGGTGACGTATACCCCCGAGTGAGCGTTGTAGCAGCAAGGGTTGGTGGATCAGGGAGGTACGTGAAACTCCCAAACCCCCTGGGATGCAAGATGGCCAGAAGATGGATGCACAGCAAGTAGGCTTGTCAATCTGTTTGTGTGGAACTTTGAGTATTAACCCCCCTTGCATTAATGCGTTTTCTCCAGGTGCTTCAGCTTCTGTCTACAATCAACATTCCTTACAAAACAATTGGTGAAACATCCCAAACCAGAACCCTCCGGGACAAGAGTTGTGCGCCTCTAAGTCTTTCCTGAAAACGGAAATGGCATGAGTACTGATGTTACGTGCCTTAAAGCAGCATATCTAGTTAAACATTATTTACGCTCAATGAACGTTCAAGCAAATAGATGTGACAATGTAGGCATCGTATATCTGTTTTTTTTTTAGGGGTAACCGTCAGAAGTCACTTTGTTCACAAGTCTATAACTGCCTCCTGGTGTTTATATTACAAATGAAAAAGTTTTCCCAAGAGAAGCCACTGAGCACAACACACAAAAGAACCTCTTTAAAATGTATGTTCTATAGCATGTACAAATATAGTCTCTGGACAGACATCTGTTCGAATCTTAATTAAACACCAAAAGAGTGAGCTTAGTTGCATTTGATTGTTTGTTAAGCTTTCCTTCACCAAGGCGGTTGCCTCTTTCATAACCGGCAGGGGGTGTAGTTTCCAATAACCTATCGACCCTATATACCCGTCACCTAGTAAGGAGAAAAGAGCGACACTTCTCCATGTTATGACGACGCAGCGCTAAGAATGTCACGGTTTTGAGTTATGACGATAACGCTCCTGTTGAAAGCTTCAATTGCGAGATTTCAACTCCCTCGCCTGGTATAGAGGTCGTGTGTTCGATCCCGACCCTGACCGTTGTACATCTCGAGTTTGCACGTTCTCCCCGTGGTCGCGTGACATTTTCTCTAGGCCCTCCCGTTTTTTTCCCTCCACATTTAGAATCGTGCATTTCGAGTATTTGGCTGCTATAAGTTTCCACATAAGCCACTTCGTTTTGCCATCATTTGTGGCCAGGTCGCTTCTGAAAAAAAGATATATAGCTCAGTGGGCCTTACCTGGTAAAATGCAAAATTGTTGTGGTTTTTTTACATCATCGTTATTTTTTTATTACTTCCACAGGTTTATATAGGGGCAGCATTTGCATTGCCACAAAGTGAAACTATTGTGTTGCATAAAGGTCGCTAGTGTGAATACTATAGTGTGGCAAAATGGGGCTTTTGCTATAGACTGCAGGCTGACGCTCTACTGGCGCTGCCACTAAAGCATGTGCATCCTCTGAGCACATCACTCTCCTCTAATCGAGCCCCTGCAGACCAAACTGTGCTCTCGAAAAACAAGAAAAAGTGACTCAAATCCAAAGATCAACATTGACGTAATGTACCTTTTGAGATGCAGGCAACAAGCCAGCATCTCAATAGGCACTTACATCAGTTTTGTGATCAGTTTTCCCGACAGCGACATCTCTGCTTCGTTTCATACCATGACCCAGATGTTTATTATGCAACAGGTGTGCACCGTGAAGCCGACTATCATTGCCACACTAGTTTTTTTTTTACAAGGGCAGGGGGGGATAAGGCGTCACACCTGCACACAAGTCACCACAACACCAGGTGCTGCTGCTGGTAATCAGTGGATTTCTCAATTTGCATTTT